TGTCTCTTTACTACATGACAAAAATAATGACAGCTTCACTGTGTGACGATGAAAAGCATGAGACGGACTAAAGAAAAAGTGTCTGACCACGGGTACGAGCCGTCTTCTGTCTCCTGTCTCTGACTGCTGTCCATGCTGGAGGAGTCCTGGTCCAGGGTCTGCTGCAGCTCCAGGTCCAGGTCCAGGTGTGTTGGTGTGTTCCGCAGTTTTCTGTGAATGAGCGCTGCGTCTGTGTGCAGCGTCGGAACTTTCTATAATGACTGGTAGGAGAAACGTGTCAGACCCTCCCAGCTGCAGCAGGACCAACCAACCACATCCATCTGAGAAGATCGGAGGAAAAACAACAACAGCATGAATTCAAGCAGCGAGTTTCAGGGTTACGACTGCACATTATGGAGCTAAAAGGTAGGCTGTGAAATATACTTAAAATAATACAAACAATATTTAAAAATAGAAAATCAAAAACATTAAAAAATATAGTCAGAATATAATATAAATATATAGGAGTGTTAGAAGTCAACAAAACTACGAGTTCATTACTTACAGTCCAACAAAAACACGTATTTGAAAAAAAACAAATATTCTAAATAACAGTAACTTAATTTATTAAAAAAAATAAAAAGAACAATAATGAATAAAACCATTAAATGTCGGTGATCTGTTTTCCGTTCTCCTGCTTTTATTTTGAAACCAGAAACGGAAATGTTGCTCATGCAGGCGGAAGCTGTACCGTTTACTTCCTGTCTTCCGGTTCCTGCAGCCTGAACACACTCATGTTTGGACTCTGGGCTCAGACTTTAACCAGGATTTTGTCTCGGGATTCAGGTTTATTTAAGCGCGTTGTATTGAACTGCAGCTGCTGTGAGCCGCTACTGCCACCAGGAGGCACTGCCAGAGCATTCAACACAAACACGCCGATGCCTCAGAAACAGAAAAGGGTGAGATTATACATTAACTTAAGGTTGAATTTAAAACTTAAAAAGTTGGTGAAAAAATCACAGTTTAATTTCTCTGTGATATTCTTGATTATTACTGTATCACAGGCAGTGATGCTTGTGTGATTTGTGGCTAACGTTAGCTCTCATTTTCATTTCTCATATTTTGATAACTATCGGTCTGTTTCTCATGTTCACACGCTGAGGTTCAAGGTTTTCCACGTTCCATTACTTTTGTCTGACCTCAGTGGACAAACAGCGGGTGCTCCGTCTTTTCAGCCTGTAAACCGCCCAGTGCTAGAACCTGAGGAGTATTTTATACAAGTGTAAACAGTTGTAACCAAGTAACCTGTCATTCGTTGCCCTGTTTCGCCAGGTGAAAGGTCAACAAGCCGGTGCAACAGCAGCAGAACCTGAATCCACTGGACCAGTTTCACTGGACAGGAGTGGATCTGTCAGCATCGTGGTCCGCGCAAAACCTGGGTCCAAACACAGCGGCATCACAGGTGGGAGACCAAACCTCGGTCTGTGGTCGGAGTCAAAGAAAAGTCCAAGCTCAGTGTTTTTGTCCCTGTCCTGTTTTCGTAGACGTATCCACAGAGGCGGTGGGCGTGTCCATCGCAGCCCCGCCCACTGACGGAGAAGCCAACGCTGAGCTCATCCGGTTCTTGGCTTCAGTTCTGGATGTGAAGAAGAGCCAGGTCTCTCTGGACAAGGTTCGGACAACCCTTCAGTCATTGGTCGATTCAGCTTTAAATAACATCAAGTCACGTGACTGTGTCGTCATCAGGCTCGATGTCTAGGACTGGACTAATGAAGTGTCTCTTCTTCCTCAGGGTTCCAGGTCCAGAGACAAAATACTGACAGTGGACTCGTCCTTGAGTCCAGAGGAGGTTCTGAGGAGACTGAGACAGTCTACAGACTGATGGACAACAGGAGGACAGAGACCTGGTCACTCATCAACAACCTTTGCTCTGAGGAAACATTAGGTGCTCCCCCTGATGGAGATCAGAGAGACCTTTAATTTACCCCTCTGTTCTTAGAGGACTTTAATGATGTTTTGATCCGTGTTTCATAAAAATCTATTGTTTTTATTTAAACATTTTCAGGTGTAAATCTGAGACATGATGTGGAATCAATAAAGTTTCATCTAATCTGTTGATTAATCCATACTTGATGTGTCACCTGGTGATCAAGAACAGGAAGTTGAAACATCTGGTCAAACCCTCTATCTATCAACATAAACACAAAAATAGCTTAGTGCTAGGCTAACACAGATGTTTCCAAATCTCAGTTGTTAAAGGTCAAACTAATTCTAAAATGAAGGTCAGAAGTTTGAAAATGACATCAAACCAAAACATCAGAAATGTTTAACCACTAGTTAGAGAACCAAAAGATCAGAAATGTTTAACCACTAGTTAGAGTTCAATCTAAATCAGCTTATAACAGTCACAGCAGAACACCAGAGTTTTTGTCCCAAATGGTTTTTATTAAAGACATTTTACAGACACTCAGACTCCTCGGGGTTGCTTGAAGTTCATACCGACGGTGGGCTGGGTCACCTGCAGGTTGGACAGACTGCCAAAGTCCTGGAGGACAGAGAAACAGACGGGGTGAGTCAGGGGGACTGGAGGACAGAGAACCAGTCTAGGATTGGGGAACTGTCTGAGAGCGTCAGGGTTCCAAAGGAACTGAGGGTCCTTCAAACACGGGAAAAGCTCTCAGTTTCCTCTTCCTGTACTATCAATGACCTGACCACTAGGGTGTCATGATCACTTTCGATACAGGGTAAAACACTAACATCTTGACCAGAGTCTGGTCGCAGCTTTGAATTCAAATATCCCACCAGACCAGACTGAGGGCCTGCAAATGACCCCTGACCTCTGCTCAGGTCCATGAACACATCACCACATCAGTTCACACGACAAAGACTTGAACAGAACTCACCAGCAGCTTCAGCATCTCCTTGGTGTCGGGATCTACTTCAATCAGCTCCTGGTCCAGAGCAGAAACCTGAACAGGGAACAGTAAAGACACATCAGGATCTGGACTCTCACTGGGTCACTGAGTCCACCGCTGAACATAAGGACCAGCTCCACAGAACCAGCATTGATGAACAGAACATAGCTCTCTACGTGTGCGTGTCTCAGACAGTTTGTCTTCTGGTCCTTTAGTCACTGTGAGCAGTGAACCAGTGACACGATGACTTTCAACCCAGGTCTACAGAGTGAACTGGTCTGATGAGGCCCAGAGTCCAGCATTGGACCCAACCAAAAACAGGATCAAGTGAAGTGTCTGTGGGCCAGAACCCACTCCACATCTCACTGACAGCAGGCAGAGGGAGAGAACTCTCTAGATGTGCGAAAAGTAACCACTGCTGCAGCTTCACCCAGGGGTCAAAGGTCAACACAATACAAGCTTTAGAAATCTAAAGACTGCAGATTGAAATCTCAACATTTGACCAAAAACCAACGACGACATCAAACATCACCATGTTTGTTTCAATCCATTATACAACTGCAGAACAGAACATCAGTTCCAGCTCTTTATTAAAAGAACTCTGAGTGAAAACATGATAAGTTTACTCCAAGTCAGTGAGTTACTGTGACTTAGTTCTTTACCAGTTAGTTGACCAGGTGTACAGTCATCCACCACATTAACACTGGTCAGAACTAGTCCATACCTGGGTCTACACTGATGTCCAACATCTCATCTCAAACATATGAATTCAGCAGGTCTAGTTAACATTGAAACATCCGATCTGTGCTGCGTTCACTGACCTCAGGAACATAGTTGTCCCTCCTCTCCCTCTCCTCCTCCTGCAGTTTGATGGAGATTCCTCTGACTGGACCTCTCTGGATCCTCTTCATCAAGTGCGTCACATACCTGTACAAAAAGAAGAACAGAAAAACTGAAGCTTTGTCACAGTAAAGTCCTTTATCTTCAGACATTTATCTACAGAACAATTCAACAGGTCAGACAGAATACCAGCAGCAGCACTACGGCACCTGTCCACCGCTCAGCTGGGCTTCAATGACTGACTAACACTTCAGAGAATGTCATGTCTGAGAGCGCCAGGGTCTGGGAGGCACTGATGGTCCTTCAGACACGGGAAAGGCCCTCATTACCCTCTCCCTGTACTATCAATGACCTGGCAACAACAAGGCCATGATCACTTTCGATACAGGGCTCCAAAATTCGTCCCTCACCCAACACACTCACCCAGCGATCTTGTTGCGCAGCTTCTTGCTGGGAATAATGGCAATCTCCTCACACACCCTCTTGTTGGTGTGGAAGTCGTTTCCCAGCCGGGTGTAGTATTTCTCGATGATGACCCTGGCGGCCTTCTTCACCGTCTTTGTCCTGACTCGTCCCTAAACACATCACAGTCATTACATTTGAACGTCAACATGTTGATTTGATGAAGCTATCACCAACAAGCTGCTATTAAAGACATTATCAAAATAAAAGAGTTCTGGTTCAGACGCACAACGAATACGTCAATAAAACAATACAAACGTATTACAAACGTTCACGTTAGTTAACATAGCTGCTACCATTTCCAGTGAACATTTTACACATTTACAACTAAGGTTGATGATTTCCTTAAATCCTATCGCACAAAGACGAGCAAACGCTGTTTCTGTTTATCAGCAAAGTCTCCAGGAAACGCTATAAGTTAGGCTTCATGGACAGTTCACCGGGCCTACAACAGCTATTTAACGTCCCTTGGTTTGTTCTTGCAGCGTCCGTGGTAGCCCTGTGTTGCTACTGCTACAAATGCTAACACCGGAGATTAGCTTCCAACGCTAACACCCGGTGACAAACACCCACCGGGGAGAGGTTTAACCAGTATATAAGACAAGTAGCGAATTCGAGTCAGTGTTTAGCCAGTGAACTGTTTGAAACACGAAACGCAGAAACCTTCGACTTAATTAGTTAAGTCCAATAAAGAGCTAAAGAACGGTTCTGCTCCGCCTCATCTGTTAGCTTCGGCACTCCACCAGATACTTCTAAATAAAACGTTTTGTTTGAAGCATCAGACTGAAATACAGCCGTGATCCTGTGGCAGAAGCAGTCCGGTCTATGTAGCGACCGATTCCACTGCATATTAACCAACAGGAGTGCAAGATTGAGCTGGATGTTAGAATGAGATAAAAAACATTTACCCACCATGTTGGATCGGCCTGGTAGAAGAGAACTACGAGATTTCCGGCGGATGTTTAAATCCCCATGCGGAAGGTATAGCGTGTTACGAGGACACCTGCCAACAGGAGGTTGAAACTACAACTGCTTGAACCAGATTAAGATTAAGACATGCTTTATTCGTCACACAACGGGATAATTCTCATGATTGACAGCAGCAAAGTACAACACACGATATAAAGAGTAATGTATAGCAAAGTTCTACGGTAATAATGACAACACTCTGCCGCTTGTTAACATTTATACTGTATACTGTATTTAGAAACAGAGACAAATAGAGCGCGTATTTAGAGACAAATAGATCGCTGAAGAGGGGAAGAAAGGAATAGAAATGTTTTCATTTTTTATTTAAAATGATGGATTTGTGAATATTAAAGTGGTAACTCAATAAAACAATTACCGAACCCCTAAATGGACAGGGGTTATAGCAAATAAATAAACGTTTCTGGCACTCAGCTGAAAGTCTCAGTTTTCTGGATTCAACTATTGAATCCAAACAACACCAACACACCTCCATAAAAGACAATGAGGGCTAAACACCAATCTCTATTAAATAAATTCTCGTGATTCAATTTAATTTCCGATGAACGACATCACGTGACGTGAGCTCACGTGACCCGTTAGTTAACATGGCTGCTACCATTTCCAGCGAACATTTTACACATTTACAACTTCTGCTGAAGGTAAAGGATTTCCTTAAATCCGTGAACTGTTTAATCCGTTCTATCGAACAAAGACGATTAAACGCTGTTTATGTTTTGTCATATGTATTTTTAAAAAATTGTGAGGAGTTATCGTTAGCCCCATATGTATTTTTTAAAAATTGTGAGGAGTTATCGTTAGCCCTTTAGCAGAAGAACGTACATTGACAGCGAAACATTTATTTCTGTAGTAAATACTTTGTCTTATGACTAGTCGTTTTTAACTAATGTGCGATTACAGTAAACTTAACGACCAACACCTGTGTGACGTCAACACAAGTACATCGTGGGTCGGTCAGTCCTCGGTTTTATCTTTAGAATAATCATCCTCACATTGAAGAAGCTAAAGTGAGAGAAGATGTTCTAGTTCCGTCTGTTCTAGGCCTGTCATAAAGATGAGAATAAATGACCGGAAACAAATACAGAGTCTGTTTGTTCGGAGCTAAACTCGTGGTTATTGTTGTCTGTGGTTCTGCTCCACAGGCTCCGTCCAAAGATGCAGTCAGAGACGTCTGTGTCCGCAGTCACAGGGAACCCGGTGGTCGGCTGGCTGAGAGCACAGCGGCCGCACTGAGCATCTCTACAAGCCAGGCTGCTGAGGTGACACACACACACACACACACTGAACAGCAGTAGTGGATATGGTGAGGGTGGGTCACTGGTCTGTCTTCCTCCTCAGCTGGTCCACTCGCTCCACGTCCTCTCTCATCACGTGGTCTTCAACAACCTCAGTTCCCCTGAGCAGATCCTGGATCTGTTTCCCACATCCTTCCACCAAAGTCTGAAGAACCTCATCACCAAGATCCTGCTGGAGAACAGGTGAGAACACGTGACATGGTGGACGTCAGTCACTCAGCCTGAGCAAAGATGAACTCATTTACAAACTGCAGTCAAGTCAGTGATTGGTCAAAATAACAGCAGTGACATCACACGGTCTCTTGTGATGTTTTTCAGTCCAACATGGAGGACGGAGGCTGCAGGAGTCAACGGTGAGTCCACATGGACTCTGTGTGTGTGTGTGTGTGTGTGTGTGTGTGTGAGAGATCCTAACTCGTGTGTGTGTGTGTGTCCAGTCTCTCTCCCTCAGCTTACACACCTGGACTGGAGAGTGGACATGGTCAGAGGCTCAGACTCTGTGGGTCACATGTCCGTCCCCACGTGTCTGGTCCAATTCCAGGTCAGATATTCAACAACTCTCACTTTACTGCCCCCTACTGATGCAAATGTTTTGAATGAAATGAGTTTGGTTTTGGTGTGTTTTTCCAGGTCGAGGATCCGTCCCCATCTGCGGGCACAGAGTCTGTTTCCACGGTGACGGTGGAGCTGAGCAGAGAGTCTCTGGACACCATCCTGGACGGACTGGGACGAATCAGAGACCAGCTGTCTGTTGTCGCTGGGAAATAAATAATAACCCCTTTTTTTTCTTTTTCTTTAAAAATCATTTGCCTCTGCATTTTGTCCTGTTCATCCAACCAGCTCAAGTTTTCACTATTAAAGTTTTTATAGTTGGTTTAGTATTTTCTCTTCTAACTCACATTAGAAACAACAAACACCGATGACAGAACCGTTAGGACTCGGACAGAATCAGTTCTCAGCTCAACTTTTATTATTCCATCTTCTGTACAGGGAGTATTCAAACCAGTTTACTTCACGCTGGAATACTCTGAAATGTTACTGGAATCAGTGTAGTACAGAGCAGTTGGTACCAGTTCAGACTGGATCCTGGCCCAGAGAACTCTAGTCTGGTCCAACTGTTAAATGTTGTGAAAACGACATCACTCTGTTAGCTGATGTTAGTCAACTTTACTGTGTGCTCTCTGGTACCTCTAGAGGACAAATCAGAAAAGACACATTACTCTGTGTCTTCAGTTTGACAAACTTCACTCAGGCTGTCTGACATGAGTGCCCTCTACCGCTCAGTCTGCGTCATGGCATGCTCTACTGCTGGTTTGACTCAGTGTCATGTTCCTGTCCTCTGACTGGTGAGCCAGCAGGGGGCGTCTCCACACCTGTAACCCAGGGGGAAAAACATGAAATTCTGATCAAAACAGTTTTTAATGAAGTACTAGTTAGTTTTACTAACTTCATCTATTTGGTCAAGATAGCTTTGTTGCTATCTTTTTTAGCAGTTTGTGGGATTTTTTTTTAGTCATCGTTTGGCTAAAAATGTTGTGACTGGTCAAACTGTTGACTGACGCTCACCTGTGTCGGACGGTAGACGGACAGCTGAGGGAGGAGAGCTGCTGCTCCAGACGACACACCCTGAAGGCCAGGTAACAGGAGGAGAGGAGGAGCAGGAGCACACTGACACACACACACACACACACACACAGAGATCATCATCACTCAGATATTCACAGAATTGTTTCCTGGGGAATTGTGGGTAGTTTTTCTTCAGGACTCACAGCAGGATGAAAAGCTTGAGCAGCTGGAAGTCTGTGGGACCAAGTTCTGGTACTGGTTCTGTCAGAAGGATCTGCTCTGGATCCAGAGTGCTCTCTGCACACACACACACACACACACACACACACACACCATCATCATCATCATTTACCCAACAGCTGACAGTGATTTGATTGACAGGCAGGGAGGGGCGTGGTCTGTTACCAGAGAGTGTGTGGGTGCTGAAGGGCGGGTCTGTGGCCAGGCTGGGGGCGGAGTTTCCCAGAAGGTCAGGGAGGGAGGAGGACACAGGGGGGAGAGACGGTTTCCTTCTCCACTTCAGCACCTCTGGAAACTCGTCCTGAGGTCAGACAGATGTTTGATGTTTCAAAGTAGCTGGACCAACAACTTCAGTCCAGCTCTCACTCTGAGGAACATCTATGTTACAGTACCATGGACAGAGAACTGGGTTCCTCCAGCAACTGCTTCAGACTCAGACTTTTCCCGTTCACCTGAAGAGAAAACAGACATCACTCTGGAATCATGGAAATGTCCTGATCAGAGCCATGAGTTGTTTTTGTTTTATACTTCATTACTGTGCTGTAGAACCAGCGAATCAAGTCGAACGCCTTCAATCATAAAACCACTGATTTTCTCTGTGGACTTCAGAGTTACTCAGGTCTTTTGTTGGAAGGTGTCTCTGGAGACTCTGGAGTTATAAACCACAGCTAATTTTATTGACAACAGCACCACAGTGCCTCCTGCAGGCAGACCTCGGTCAAGTCTTTTAACCTGGTGTCTACCCACCTGCAGGTGAGTGCAGATCCTCCTGAGGACGTCGTAGACACTTTCTCTGGACAGAAGGGACACAAACACGTACTGAGGACAAAAAGACAAACAACATATTTTTAAAAATAGTCTGAGCCAGAGGAACAGGTTGGCTCTGGATCAGTGACCTTCTGTCCAGTGTCCATGGTGATGGCCAGACCATTTGGCACCAGTCCTGCCGTCTTGTGCTTCTTCACCAGCCGCATCGAAACCACTGGAATACAGACCTGCAGGACAGAACCAAAACCAGACCAGAACTTTAACCAACCCAAAGATAAAGTACCTTTTCACCGACTGGTACTGATGTGGTTTCATTTAGACCAACAGCGAGAAGACATGGACAAAGACCAGGAGAGCTGAGGTCACGTTAAAGTCCTCCACAGAGAACCACATGTTGGTCTCCAGGACCTCATCTCTCCTCTGGACCAAAGACCTGATCCAGCTGAAGCCTGGAGAAGATCAGACCAGCTGGTGTCTGGATCACAGCTGTGTGACTGGACCAGGTGTCCCCTGGTCCAACAGTCCACCCACGGTGTCTTCAATCACCTTGATGTCCTTCCCAAACAGGTTGGCGTAGAAGCAGAGCCAGTGTCTGGAGATGTAGAGTCGACCCTGCAGCAGGATGTCCCTCAACAACGCACAGGAGTAAACTGAAGGAGAACCAAGGACAACAGTCAGCAGAACATGGGTCTCTTTGGTCCAGAGCCAGGTACACAACAGGGTTCTTCTGTCCAGATGGGATCAGAGTCTGGACCTGTGAGGACACTGTCCAGGTGTTCCTACTGTTCCTACTGTTGTTCCTGGTGTAGTACCTGGTGTAGTACCAGTTGTGGTACCAGTTGTGGTACCAGTTGTGGTACCATGTGTAATACCATGTGTGGTACCATGTGTAATACCATGTGTGGTACCATGTGTAGTACCAGGGGTGGTACCACACATGGTACCACACATGGTGCCACACCTGGTACCACACATGGTATTACACATGGTACCACAACTGGTACTTGTGGTACCATGTGTGGTACCATGTGTAGTACCATGTGTGGTACCACACATGGTACTACACATGGTACCACAACTGGTACTTGTGGTACCATGTGGAGTACCAGTTGTGGTACAATGTGCAGTACCATGTGTAGTACCAGTTGTGGTACCAGTTGTGGTACCAGTTGTGGTACCAGTTGTGGTACCAGTTGTGGTACCAGTTGTGGTACCAGTTGTGGTACCAGTTGTGGTACCATGTGTAGTAATAGGTGTGGTACCACCTCTATTACCAGGTGTGGTACCATGTGTGGCACCATGTGTGGTACCAGGTGTGGCACCATGTGTGGTACCAGGTGTGGCACCATGTGTGGTACCATGTGTGGTACCAGTTGTGGTACCATGTGTGGGACTACACATGGTACCACAACTGGTACTGCACATGGTACTGCACATTGTACCACAACTGGTACTCCACATGGTACCACACCTGGTACCACACATGGTATTACACATGGTACCACACATGGTATTACACATGGTACCACAACTGGTACTGCACATGGTACTGCACATTGTACCACAACTGGTACTCCACATGGTATCCCCCCTGGTACCACACATGGTACCACAAGTACCAGTTGTGGTACCATGTGTAGTAATAGGTGTGGTACCACCTGTATTACCAGGTGTGGTACCATGTGTGGCACCATGTGTGGTACCATGTGTGGTACCAGTTGTGGTACCATGTGTAGTACCAGGTGTGGTACCATGTGTAGTAATTATGTGTGGTACCATGTGTAGTACCAGGTGTGGTACCAGGTGTGGTACCATGTGTGGTGCCATGTGTAGTACCAGGTGTGGTACCATGTGTGGTGCCATGTGTAATACCATGTGTAGTACCAGTTGTGGTACCATGTGTAGTACCAGGTGTAGTACCAGGTATAGTGCCTGGTGTTCTGGTCCTACCTTTCATCAGGATCTCCTCCTTTGGAACAGCCTTGAACAGTTTGTGGAACTGAGAGTTGTACTTGTTAACAGTCTGAGAACAAGAAGGAAAATGACCTTCAGATGTTTCATCTTCTGACCACCACACCTGAGTGTGTGTGTGTGTGTGTGTGAGAGAGCTTCACTCACTGATCCTCTGTAGCACTTCTTCACATCTTCATACGACAGGTCATCAATCAGCTGCAGCCTGCAGGAAAAGTCAGAGCATTACATCACATCCTGTAAGAAACAGAGGAACAAGATGATGATGATGGTGATGATGATGGTGATGGTGATGATGATGATGGTGATGATGATGGTGATGATGATGATGATGATGGTGGTTGAATTTGTTGGTCAGCTTTGAATTCCGTCCTTAGTGTTAAAAATATTTCGTGTCACTGGTTTTCTCTATGGACTCAAGGCACTCAAAAATCTGAACTATCCCTTTAAGACCCCACCATCCCCCAACACACACACTGTCACATAGGACGGTGTTGTCATGGCAACATGAAGCAAATCAACCAGAAGATTATGCAAAAAGAAGAAAGTTGTTGTACTTTAACCGCCCCCCCTATTAATCCCCCTCCCCCAAAGAGAGAATGTTCCAATCAGAACACACACACTGGGGCCTAGTGTGTGTGAAAGAGGTGATTGTCTACACACACACACACACACACACACACCCAGCTTGTTTGGTACGTGACAGGAATTTGACTCTCAGAACACACTGCGTTTGTTTTTTGTCTTTTTTCAGCTTTTAACTACTGCCATCACACACACACACACAGAATGGTACTTGATGTAGGGGGCGCTCTCCTCATCACAGACAGCCCCTCCATTGTGATCCAATCACACGTCAAGTCAATTTTGAGTACAATCACAAATATAACGGCTATAAAAAATAGTACTTGGACTTGTTTGAGTTACAGGAACTGTCATGTGATCACAGGTATTAGTACCAGGAACTTTACAGTGATGTACGAATGGTGTTTGTGAGCAGCGCAGGGATCAGGGAGTAAATAAAAGTACCAGGACTCTGTGCTTCTTTTAAAGTTTAGTGCTCAGGTAGCTCTGCAGTTCCTCACCTGATGGGTAGATGGCAGTGTCCCACCTCCTCCATGTGGACGTCCAGCACAGGATTAGGTGGAGCAGTGATGTCATCAACGTGCTCCACATTCTCTGATGTCATCACAAACGTTAAGGCCAGGACTTGAACCTGTGGTCTTCTTGTAATAAGGGCGCCCTCTTCTGGTGACTGTTGGTATTGGCTCCAGCTCCACCACGACTCTGAAAATGAATCAATGATAGAAAGTGAATGAAGGAATGTTTTTAAAATCAAATTTATTGATCTATCTATTTTCACAAACATGTGTTTGTTTTTCTTTAATTCTAGATTTCGTTGTTCTTTTACTTTTTGGGGGAGGGGATGGGGGATGGAGGGGTCCAAACGTTCTTTATCTAAACAGGTATACAAAATCGGATGCCAATGAAAAAAACAAACAAACAAACAAAAAAAATTATCCATGAAGCTGAACTTCATGTGTACCTATTCTCTGAGTACAACACTGGTGGTACAGAATACTTCAAAGTCCAGCACCAAATGCTAACTGTTAGCCAGAGGACATTAGTAGTTAAAGTCAAAGGAAAAAAAATCAAAACTGAATTTTCTTTCCTGCTGGAAAATGAAAGTTGAATTATTCATAAAATAAGTGGTTTCCACACATCGTCCTTAAACCAGAGAAAAAATGTTCACTATTCATTAAGTCAAATGACCGACTCTGTTCTACTCCTCGACATTATTGTTGTTTAACAAACGGGTTTATGGTGAAAAAACACACACACACACACACGGTTTAACAAACGGGTTTATGGTGAAAACACACACACACACACTCTCACTCTCTCTCTCTCTCTCTTACCTGAACTGGCCGCACGGTCTCCCCACAGCTCCGCCAACCGTTACCTGAACTGGCCGTACGGTCTCCCCACAGCTCCGCCAACCGTGTCTACAGCCTGTATCTGAGTTCGAGTCAAGTTGACTGTTGTGAACGGAAGCCACAGCACAGACAACCGGAAGTTGTTCTGAAATTAAAACGCACAAGCCAAAAAAAAAGACAGACGAGGTTCTCACCGTGGTGTAGAGAAAACGTCGCCCAACCCTCACGTCGTCACTAATCTACAAACATTATAACATCATTCATAAACCATTATATAAATATATAGTTGACATAATAGAGCATTGTTTTATTGAGGACAGTAAAACCCAAATCATCTGCTTCTTGACTTTTAAAATACTCAGAAATCGAGGGGAGGAGGCATGAAACATGTGAGAAGAAGGGACTGTGAATCCAAGAATCCACGTGAGCAGGAGGAGCAGCAGGAGTGGACAGCGCAAGGACCAACATTTCGATGAACCTGCTCATCCTATTTTCAGCAGCGCAACAGCGCCTCCACCTGGTTTCTCCACCACACGGACTCTCCTCTCAATTCAACCATGAGTCTATTTACAGGATGGATGCCCTCTGGTGGGTTTTTGCGATATTACAGGGAGTGCATATTGAAACAACTAGCACTTCCTCCGTTGTGAACTATTCCTAGTACTATTCCTCATAATTAAATCCATCCCAGATTTCACTGAAAACAGTGATTGGCAACGATGAGTCAGTGACAGATTCCTATCTGATGTGTTCACCTTCACTGTTAAATCTTCAGTACATCTGACATCAACAAGGGTGATCAACCTGAGACCGTGGCACAGGTTTGGCTGTAAATACATGACAGATTCATTAAGGCAATCAAAGAATTATATATATTATATATTAGCAGTAAAATGTGCACAACAGAAAAGGTGCTAATTGTTAGCTTACTTCAAAGCCCGGGACAGATGAGACGAGGATGACGATGAACCACCGGCATCGCTGTCTGTCCAAACAGGTTCTAAGAACTTTCTGTGTGAACTTAAAGAATGAAGGACTCAGAGGTCGAGGCCCCGTTCCACCAGCTACAGGTTTAATGTCAGATCAACAACAGTAGAAAAACAGAGGCTACAGACAAAACGAAGAGTAGGAAACATCATCATCATCATCAGGCTCTTTAAAATAATTCCTCTGTACAGTATTTACACACACACACGCACGCACACACACACACACACAGAGTACAGTACAGCTACACACTGAGGGAGTGGGGAGGAGGGGCGGGGCTTCACTTCCTGTCACACAGTCTGAGCCTGCAGCTTCAGTCCCATTATTGCTGCGCTCTGATTGGTCCATCCTCCCCCACCCACAGTGGCTCATATTTTAATTATTCATTTCTTTAAAAAATCTTTAAAGGTGAGACAGGAACAGGTGACGCTGCGAGTCCACAACCTGGTTCTGGGAGGTCAGAGGT